TGCTCTTTTCTTAACACGGCACAGACTTGACGCAGATGGTCCACGTGCTGCTCACGAGAGTTACTGTAAATAAGGATATCGTCGAAGTACACCACCAAGAATTTTTCCGTGAAGGGGCGGAGTACTTGAGTCATCACTCTCATAAAGGTGCTCGGAGCATTAGTCAAAAGCGGTTTTCCATTCGTCACCGGGACGGATGCGAATCTGATGGTAGCCACTCTTAAGATCAATCTTAGAGAAGATGGTGGCTCCAGACATTAAGTCAAGCATGTCATCCAACCGGGGAATGGGGGAACGATATTTCACCGTGATCTTGTTGATTGCACGGCTATCCACACACATACGCCATGTATCATCTTTCTTGGGCGTCAGTAATGCGGGAACCGCACAAGGGCTCATGTTTTCTTTCACAAAGCCCTTCTTCAACAATTCATCAACTTGCCTTTTCAACTCTGCATGCTCATTGCGGTTCATCCGATAGTGAGACAAATTGGGAAGGGATGCTCCCGGGACTAAATCAATTGCGTGTTGGATATCACGCATCGGGGGTAATTGGTCCGGGAGGTCTTCAGGGAAGACGTCAGAAAATTCTTCCAACACAGTAGCGACTTCTGGGGGAACCACGTTACAAATATCCTTCGGAGTTTCTCTAGCGGCGAGGGAGAAAATAGGAGCTCCGTTGGCCAGTTCGCGATCAATCTCTTTAGCTCCAATCAGGTTAACGCCTTGGGAAGACTTGTTTGGATCGGGCTTCTTGTCACTTCCTTTCGGCTGAACGGGAAGGATTTTGACCTTTTTCCCGTCATGCTCAAACAATAGCATGTTGGATCGCCCGAAAATATGCACATTGTTATCGAATAACCAAGGCCTTCCAAGAATAACCTGACCCACATCCATTTTCAGAACATCGCACCAAACTTTGTCCTTATAAATGGCAAACTGAAGAGGGACTAGGCATCTCTCTTGGACATTGAGGGCGGTGTCGTTAATCCATGATACCTTGTATGGATTAGGATGGAGTACAACCTTGAGACCAAGCTTAGCAATCACAGCTGAGGAGACCGCATTAATACAACTTTCACTATCCACGATCACCTTACAATTTTTATCACCAATCTTGGTGAACGTATGGAAAATAGAAGTACGTCTCCAGTCATCAACAGCCTTGGGTTGAGAGATGACGCATCTGACAACTGATACGGTAGGAGTGTCAATTTGTCTAAGACAACCTAAGATAGTATCATCAGCATCATCCTCGAAATCATCAGTATCATCGTCAACTTGATGGACAAACTCGTCACTATCAGATTCAGGTTCGTATTCGTATTGTCCATCGATAATAGCAACCTTGTGACGGGTCGGACAGTTCGCAGAAACATGCCCATACCCTTGGCATTTGTAGCACTTGACGTGAGCGTCAATCTTGGAGAAATCTCTCTCCGGTTCCTTGCCTTTGGAATCGACTTTCGACTAGGAAGAACTAGGGTTATATCGACTCGGAGGATGACTAGAAGTAGTGGCACGGGAAGGTTGGGAAGAATGATTTCTAAAATCCTGACTCCTATAAGATTGATGGGATTTTGATTCATCTAGATCCTGAACTAACGCGTAAGCTTTTTCAAGGGTGTCTACTCCCCGAGCAAAGAGTTCGGTTTGCAGATCATTTCTCAATCCAGCTCTAAACTTCGACAAGACTTTCATTGGCGCCTCTTGTTCAATAGTGTTGCATCGAGTGAACAGTTCGTCAAATTGTGCGACGTAGTCTTTCGCAGATTTGGTTCCTTGAGTGAGGCGATGCCACTTATCTAACAATCGATGATAAAATGATGACGGAAGGTATTTCTGTTTAAGTTCGTTGGTCATTTCTCGCCAAATGGTAATTGGTAACTCGCCTCTAATGTGCCTCAACGTTTCGAGGTTGGTCCAATATTGGCAGGCAGGTCCGGTAAGTTTCATTGCGGCGAACTTGACCTTTCGGGGTTCCGTAAGGGCGTACCAATCAAAGTAACGATCCATGCTCTTCAGCCAGTCCAAGAAAGCTTGTGGGTCGAGCTTGCCGTCAAAAGTTGGGGCGTTGATCTTAATACTCCTCAAGTATTGCGCATCCGGATCAGGTACCGGTTGATGTGGGGGCTACTGAACGATGTTTCCATAGCCTTGACCTTGCAGCGGCGGGGCGAAGTGTTCATAACCTTGACCTTGCGGTGGCGGGGTTGCAACACGAGCTTCTTCGAGCCTAGCAAACTTTTCGTTGGTTTCATTTCGGAGATTTGCTAAACCCTGGATTACGGCACCTAATTGTCCTGCTAGCTCATCGAGTTTCTTATAGAGTTCGGGATCGCTGCTGCCTGACATACTGGACTCACTAGTCGACTCACTTGACTCTCCTAAGCGATAGGGTAGACGGTACGAGTGGGCATGCACTAACAAATAAATGCGATGAAATGAGTGGGTGCACAAAAATTAAATAAGATGACTGATTTTTTTTTTTAAATAAAGACTCAACAAATTTCCTAACCTAGAACCAGGGGCTCTGATACCAAAAATGATAAGAAACAATGTGATGCAGGTATGAAGATTAACAACAGCAATGCTTCGCCAAATCAGCGATCGATCTAGGCAGGAAGCTCAAGAATAAAGTGTAGCTTTAGATGGTTTTTAAGCAAAGTTGCAATGTACTAAGTTCAAATCTTTTGTAAATTATCCAGAAAATAAATGTAATGATTCGTCCTCTCAATACAGTTCAAAATGTAATACTTAGATAAGTAAAAGTACTTAGCAACAGATTCGCTCGCTCACTTAATCAAGCTGAATACAGCACAGATACGATTGATAATAATATTGATAGCAACATGCAAGCAATAGCAGTTCCGAAAATAATTGGGCGAAAGAAAGTTGAACCTTCGTCGGGTTGAACTGGTTCGACGGGAGGATCCTCTGGAGGTGGTTCAACGACGCCAAATATGAGGGGTGGAAGCTCTCCACCGAGGGCGGCGTAATTAGGATGGAGCGGTGTATCTGGATGGAAACGCCGATGCCACGAACTGATTCCCAAGCTACTCTCTACGCTGTCAACGATCTAATGGGTCACACGCTCCACGTACTCGGGCACGCTCTCGAACGACTGATAATCAAACCACGGGGAAAGTCCTAAATCTACGATGCCGGTCTCTGGATCTAGCACGAGTCCGTCATCAGCATCAGGATCTGCCATGCACCATCAATTGCAAAGTCAGGGATCAAATGGGTTGAATCTGACTCAACTAGCTTCAATAACTGGGTCAAGTGGGTCTGGTCCACACTTGACTGGATCGGTTAAATGAGTAGGGAGCACAGATCCACACTTTCTTCAACAGGGTCTCAATCTGAAGGAACGACACGGACCAGAGAGGGAGGTGGCGGTGTCGACCTAGGCGGCACTCGGGTCGGGGCTGTGGCGTTCGAGTCGGGACGGCGGCGCTCGGGTTCGAGTGGGCGGCGTTCGAGGCGGATCTGGATGGAGGGCGCTCGGTCGGGGAATCTGGGCGGTCGGGTCTTGAGTCGAAGGAGGAGGGCGGAGGTCCGGTGGGCTGTTCGAGTGCGGTTGCTGCGGTTGTAAAGGGGATGGGCTGTGTGGGTTGGGTTCTGATTGTATGGAGGAAGAAGATGATGAACAGTGCGAATTTCGATTTTCCTTTGTTTTCTTTTTTTGTGCTGTAGAAGAAACGAAAATGAACTTGCTAGGGTTTCACACCTCAATTGAGCAAAATCAATTTCATTTTCATCTTCAATAATCTTCAATCTGATTACAAGAGAGTTTAAATAAAGAAAAATACAGATTTGGAAAATCCTCTAAATCCCTCAAATCTCTCTCATAACCAATTACAATCAATCAGTTGATTAACTACCAAATAAAAATCAAAATTCAAAAATTCGAAATTCAAAAATTCAAAATTCAAACTAATTATTACAACTTGAAATCAAAACCATAGTGCTGCAACATGGCGTCTTCTTCGCTGATAAACTCAGCGAAAATCCCGTGTATGTGTCCGGATGTCCCCATCATTCTCCCCGGGTGGGAGAGAACTCGACCCTGTCGAGTGTAAATCAGAACGGCTGGATTTGGTTTTTAGGGTTTGTATAAATTAAAATCCTGTTGTTTAGGGATGCCTAATCAGAATTTCGTGAGATTTGAGATTAGAGAGGATTGTTCTCTATTCTTGTGAGAGAGATTTGTAAAACAATTGATACTCATAATCTAGAGAATGTATTTTCCTTCGCCAAAACTGAATTGTCTTGTGTTTTCTATTGTCTTCTTCTCAACTCAAATTTGATAATTCCGCGATCAAAGGTGCTCGCACGGCGACTCGTATCAGTGTTTGACACAACAATTAAGTGGGTTGGATCTTGGAGAACCTTAAATGTTGCTGATTTATATATGGGAAATCATAAATTTTGTTTTTGGCATTGGTGTAACTAAAACTCATTGATTGAAGCTATATTATGCTAGTAAGCTTTAAGAATCTTACTCAGGATATCTTGTACGAATTAAAATACTAACTTATTATTAATGTTGAAGGAGAATAACCTTTCATCCTCCTTAAGAGTTATGATTACTTTTATGGATCATTTGGTGTGTGCAAGTTGAACAGTGACTAATTGTAACGTAATATTAACTTTTTGGTAAACTGGGGCTGAGGAATTATTATAATCTCTAGTGAATATTTGAAGAACAAAGCCTGATGCCTCTATTTTTCAAGGAAGGATCGTCCTGTTTGTCTATCACCTTGTTTTCTTCTAAAAGATCGTTATGGCCAAAAGAACATCTCAAAGGGACATCGAGTTCTCATTTTCTTCCACTTCAGTTTCTGGAATAGTAGTTCTTACTCTAGTCTTGGTTTTCTGTCAACTTCTATTGGTTTTTAGATACTGTAATTTGGTGTTCTTTGTATTATGCAACATTTAGGTTTATTACTAATCACCAAACATATTTTTGAGTATATTTTTCTTTATTATTCCAGGAATTTCATCTTTCTCAAACATACCATGACGGGCTTTTAAAATTGCAAGCTAAGGATTATGCAAAAGCTCGTGAACTCTTAGAAGCCGTCCTAAAAGATCCTATAATATCAAGTTCCCAGGTAGTATCAACTGAGATCTGCTAATTTATTCATTTTTATATTCTGTTATCCTGGTTCTTTCCTTATGTTATTTCTCGGTCTTTATAGGTTGGTAAAGACACTAGTGATGGCCATCTATTGCAGCTAAGGTTTGTTACCTGCAACAAATCCAATTTGTATATTTAAAAAGTTATTAATTTTTTTGTTATATTGTTTTCTTGAGCTTCCCTTTACCAGATGATCGGTATTGGGCTAATGCATGTCAAGCTAAGCTTGTGGTTCTTTGGCTGAGGCCTTCAGAATAAACCATTATTTTCCTTGGGGAGCAGAATATATGGAATTAGATATACATACTTGAAATTGCAAGAGTTGAGGATTGACCTCCAAATGGGGGCTAGGGGCTAAGGAAATTATATTTATCACCTAACGCTCCTAATAATTTAAGCGCTCTTTTGGGCTACAACTAGGGTTTTTGACGTGCTTATTCTTTATAACTCGCGGCTAGACCTGGTGTAGTGTGACTCTAATAGACCGCTATCATGTTAGACAACCAAACCCAAAAACTTAAGTTTGTTTATTGTCAGTTAACTGTTCTTATCAAGCTAATTCAAGATTAGTAGTTAGTGTTGGCTAGTCCAACCATAACTCCTGCTCGGAATGTAATGTAATGCTGGGTGGTTTCACTTTGTTATGCAATGAATTACTGAACATATTAAACCTTCTGTTTGATGAGTCCACCCTCCACCCCCCACCCCCGTTTTGTTTGAGTTCACATTCCTTTCCTTATCTTCTATAGTGTGGGTGATCTTTGTAATTTATGATCAATTGCTTATGGATTTGTTTTAGATTATCCATTGTTTACTTTAGTATCATATCACACATTTTCAAATGGAGTTATTGTTTCTTAGATAGCTTTTAGATGCATCCATATTGATGGGCACTTTTTTATTTTTGGAAAATACTTGTGTTATCAATTGTTTTTTTTATTTATGAAGAGCAATATCCTATTTGCTGAAAAGGAAGTCTTATACAAATTATAACTAATGGTAGTTTTAGTTAACTGGTTTCTAGATGAAAATCAATATCCTATGCTAAAAGGAAGTCTCTGGTACGAATTGTGTGTAATGGTAGTTTTAGACTTTTAGGTAACTGTTTTTACTCACAGGATTTTTTTCTTTTACTTTAGCCCGTTGATACCCTTTTTGCTCTTTTACAGATTTTTGACCTTGAAGAACCTTGCTACTGTTTTCCTTGAGCAAGGTCCTGCCTACTATAAAAATGCTCTTCAATGCTATATTCAAGCTGTAGAGATTGATGCAAATGACTCAGTTGTTTGGAATAAATTGGGGACATTGTCATGCACCATGGGTTTATTGAGTACTTCTCGTTGGGCATTTGAGCAAGGGCTTTTGTGCAGTCCCAACAACTGTAAGACATCGTGCAAGTCCTTAATTGCATGCCCTTGTTTATTTGCCTCTATTTTCCAAGATGATTATTTCTTTTTCAGTAGATAATTGAGTAGCCAATAATTCTGTAAAACGTATTATCTTATATTGTTGTTGGATATAGGGAACTGCATGGAAAAACTCTTGGAGATACTTATTGCTATTGGGGATGAGGTCGCGTGCCTTTCAGTTGCAGAGCTAATACTGAGGCATTGGCCATCCCATTCTCGTGCTCTTTTCGTCAAGAAGACAATAGAAAATGCAGAGCCAGAACCATTTGCACCACGTGGCGTAGACAAACTGGAGCCAAAGCACATTAGGCTGAAGTTTCCTGACAAAAGAAATGCAGAATATGCCGATAGTGATGAGAATACTGCAACTAAAAAGCATAAGACGAGCTTAGAACTCAAGTTGGCTGGGGCAACTTGGGAAGCTCTTGCAGATGGAATCTTGAGCATCTTTCATTCCACTTCTGAAAAGGAATCCAAATCCGGTTTCTCACACAATGATGCGTTAGATGAAAATTCAGATGATGGACAAGGAAAGGTCATTCATTATGAAAAAATTGGGAAGTACAGTAATGTCAGAATAGATCTATGCTTATCTAATTCAGAGATTGCAGTAGATTCTATAGAAAGGAAACTACAGGCAAGTCCAATTGGTGAGAAGACATCACTTTCTTACACTTGTGATGAAACGAGTACATCCAGAGAAAAGGAAAGCTGTGAAGACAAAGAACATCCACAAGAAAGGCGAAGTACACGTCTTGAAAGGCTTAGAAGTCGCAAATCTGGGAAAGAAGAACTAGAGTTTAGCAACACCAAGGATTTGGGAGAGGTTGTCTTCCGATTTCTAGAACCTTTTGTTTGCAATCGGCCAAGACAAAATGACCATGACAATCCTGATGATTCTTCTGGTCTAAGTGCTGAGTGCATCAAATATTCAGCTGCACTTGAACACAATGATGTCTCACAGTTCCTATCAAAGGCTTCCAAAAATTTTGGTGCATATCATATAGGCCATTTGTTATTGGAAGAAGTTTCTCATATCAGCATTCCTTTCCAAGATAGCTTTGTGAAGTTTTTAGAATTAGAGAAGCTAACAAGACACTGGGGTCAGGATAGGACTCCAGTATGTAGCTTGTTTATTGCGGAGTTATACTATGACAGAGGATCCTTATCAGCTAATGAATCCGAAAGATCAGAGTTATTTTCTGAGGCATCATATCATCTTGCTAAAGTCATTGAGAAGGTAGCTCTTGATTCCTCAAAAGACTTGACTGGTTTATGTGATTTGGTTGGCAGCTCAAAAACTGCTTCAGAAGAAAACAACTCTGACAATATGAAGCTTGTAAGTTGTGTAGTAGAGACTATCTCTGTTGGTAAAGCAATGACAGAGGATTCTAGTTGCCAGGAATTTAGGAAACAAGATGCTTTTTCAACAAATGACACTGCCTTTTGGGTCCGTTTCTTCTGGCTAAGCGGTCACTTGTCCCTTTATTCCGGTGGTAAAGACAAAGCTTTTAGGGAGTTCTGTGTTTGCTTGTCCCTTTTGGCAAATAGCAAAACAGTGAAAGGGACACCCGATTCAGTTTTTCTACCTCACTGCAAGCTTGTGAGACTACTAACCATTAGCATAATTCGTTATGAAATTAACTTACTGAATTTAGATGCATTACTGGGAATGTCTATCAAGGAAATGATTGAGAAAGGAATGTATGCAAAGTGTAAAGATGTACTTTCTCCACTTCTGCTCTCGAATAAGAACTTTTACCTTGAAATACTCTCTAATGCCCCAAAGGAAAGTGAAAGAGTGATAGCCATCGAGTTATCAGCACTAGATTGTCTAATGACAACGTGTGAAAAAACAGAACCAGTTGATATTGATGCTTATTTAAACTGTCACAGGAGGAAGCTACAAATACTCACTGTTGCAGCTGGTATTGTAGATCCTCTGACATCGGAGAAAGACAGAAGCTCGATTGACAAAGCAACTGTTGCTTCTGATCTGGATAATGTAGAAAACACAAGGAAGAAGTGGATACATATGGTTGCTGAAGAAGTGAAGGATATATCTCGAGTTGCGACACAGGTGAAAAACATCATTGATCAAAGGAAAGGTCATGTAAGTTTTTGTAACTTTAGCTTATCTGTGGGTGCTTAGTTTTTTTAATACTAATCTAAGCTCATATATAATGCACATCTTATGCTCTTAGACTTTCTTCTGCAACCCGACTTTCTTCTGCAACCCATTCTCATATAATTATAAGTTCGTAAAGCTTTATATTTCATTGCCAGACTGAAAAGCTTGCTGTTGGAAATCAGGCACTGCCTGGTCACTGGTTTCATTACATGATGGCGTAGAGCTCTTAATGTGGTGATAGTAACTTTTATGGAATGGTATGGATAAATTAGTTTACTTGTGATGAACTAATAGTTAATCGTAAGGATCAAAATCTAGTAAATGAGTTTCAAGTATTTGAGCTCCAGAAATGAATACCTGGTTATTGATATTCATGGATAAAAAATTTATAAGAATCATTTTAAAATTATAAAGTTTATAAAGGTAATTAGCATGCTTTGACATGTTTCGAAGAATTGATGAATTTTAGATTAGGTTTCAATGAATTCTTAACAATAGAATAATTAATGTAAGAGTGTCCCCGAGTAGATAGGCTACTAATAGTTTAACTTCTCTAATAATTAAGGACGGTAGGTAATTAATTGTAAACATATGCTTCTCGAGTTTAATTATTTCAGTTGAGGTTTACTCGATTAAATTCAGTTTACTATTTCATTTAGACCCTAAGTTATCAGTTAAATGCAACATAGTTACATGTTTTACTAAGATTAAGAGGTCAAGTCAATATGATATGGTTTATTGGATTTGATCTGAGAGATGCAACTTTATTTTGATGTAGAAAGATTTGTCAACCAAGTCATCAATTATGCTATTAATTTTTTCATGTTGATTAAATTTCTTTTGCAGCTCTAAGAAAACAAATGATTTCCAAATCTGATAGTTTAGATTGGTGGTTTGAAAATTCAACTAGTTAATGATGATTTTTCCCCTTCCAAACTGAGCACTCCAGATTCAGTCTACTGTGGTAAATAAGTTTTTTAGATCCCTTTTTTATTTAACAACTTTCAGACTTTATTGTAATTTAGCGCTAACCTCATTGAAGTTGCAGGACTAGGGTTATCTATTGATATTATTGAGCATTTCGATAATTTTCCACTTTCAAGTTTTAGTAATTGTACAGCTGATTTAAGATTAGGAAGAATATTTGATGGAGACTTATAGGATAATATTAGTTATTTAGCATTTTCAGTTCTCATGAAAAATAGACCTTTTTTAACGTTTGTTTCAGGATAAGGATTTGTTCTCGTTTTTATACTTGTATCAGTTATTTGTAGGAAATACAGGGTATGAAAATAACAAACGCAGGCAAAGTTTAATGCCCCACATCTTGCTACTAAAACAGTGAAATGTTAAAAACTTGCTTATCATACAAGAAGGTGAGCTATGCAAGCAGGGGAGATCATGATAAGGAAGAACAATGGGATAGTTAAGAGCACTGATTCTCAGAATTCTCGTTGTTATACTTACATCAGTTATTCCTAGGAAGTTCCGACTCAATCAACTAACAAGAAATGTAAAGGAAACTCTTAGATGATGCAACAACATTAAGGAAAGGAGTTCCAATTTCCTATATGGAGTGAAGAACAAATCCTCTTTTCCTAGGAGCAAAGTGTCAACCGGATTGTTCCTCCTTTGTCTTCGATATTCATATCCTAAAAATAATGTTTGGGATACTTAGCTTGATACGCGTACTTCAGTACTTGAATTTCTGAGCCAGACTATTTTCTTCTTTCCCTGCTCTTCTTTTTATCCTTAACTAGTCCAGCTTCCATTGTTCCATCGACCTCTCCGTGGTACCAAATGCTACGAGAATGGTGATCTCCCTCATGATTGTCTTCATACCAAGTTATAGTATGCCTGCGATCAACGCAACCCCATTTTTTGTTGTTTGGAGGGTTGTCCCCCCCCCCCCCCCGGGGGGCGCGGGATTCGCGGCATTGTTGTTCTGTGACCTTACATACACACATCAGTTTTCACCGATAAATCTTCATCTTTACACCATCTACTGCTTCCTGTCCTTATGAAGTTCTTGATCCGCAAGGTGCATTGCAATCTCTTTTGGTACAATTTTTATACAATAAAGATGAAAAGTCCCAGACTTCTGGTTGGTTACATGAATTTTTTGTTGCTTTTGGCTCTGATAAACGTGATATCCTTCTTACTTATTCTTTTATCATGAAACTTTTCTTTATGTTAAAAGCTTCTATATATGCTACTGTTTTGATGGATTGCTGTTTTTCTGTCTGATCTGGCATTTTTATGGTCTGCCTAGCTGAAATTCTTTCTCATATAATCGAAGTTAGATGCCTTCAAGAATTTATGGATTCGAGGCATGTTTTCATTTCCATGAATGTCTTAATTTTCACCTTACCGTGCAACCATATTCAGTTGTAGTTGACATAGTTGTGCATTGGTCACAACCTTTATGACTGATTATTATGGCAAATCAAAATATGACTGCATTCACATGTTTGGTTGAAGTGTATCTAATACTTGTAATTGCAGAGTGACTCAAATTTCGTGGATAGCATAATTAGTGAAATTCAGACTCTACTACTGGCAGTTATGTGCTATGCAGTGAGAAAAATCATCTCCCTCAAAGGTTCCTGCTCAGGATCTTCAAATCATGTTGATCAATTGGATGGCTGGTGCCTTGTTGATGCAGGTGTCGCATTTTGCAAGCTTCAACACCTCGACCCTTCTGTTCCCATAAAAACTCAAGTAAATATCTATTCCATATTGGTGGTTTACCATGTTTCTACTGTAGTATAGCTTTATTTGTGCCTTAGAATTGATTGTTATTCTTCATAGCAAATCATCTTTCTTACTTAAAGACTTTATACTGTAGTTTTTGTATGGCTGCTTTGGTTGCATGAGTTTATACTACGTCACCATGTTGGTTGGGGTTTCCAACCTGTTAACAGGCATTCTACGGTTAGAAAAACGCCTCTTTTTCATGGTTCCCTTGGCTAAGAATTGGGCAGGTTAGAGGGTATTTGTCTGGTAGCAGGTAGTTTGTCAGCTGGTTGTAAAATTGAACACTTTTCATAGAGCCGAACCCATCTTGATGGGAAGAGGTTTGATGATGAAAATGATCGACGTGGTGTTGGCATATTGGATTCTGTTCTTTCAGTGTTATTCTTCATATTTTGCTGACTCCAGTTGCTTGAACATTATAGGCTGATTTAATTGTGGCTGTTCATGATTTGCTTGCGGAGTATGGACTCTGCTGTGCTGGTAGAGACAATAAAGGGGAGGAAGGGATATTTCTTAAGCTTGCAATTAAGCATCTTTTAGCCTTGGACATGAAGCTGAAATCATTAACAGGAGGTTGACATTGGAAGAGCAAAAGCAAACTAAATGCTCATATTAACATTTTAATTGATTCATGCTTTCTTAAGTTCGGTTCTTTTATTGATCAGGTGTAAATGGAAAAGAAGAAAACGCTTCGCATAAGGATGGCTCAGAAGGCATGACTCCTGAGCGTGTCATAACTTGCGAAGAACAGGATAAAGATGTGGAAGGACTTGAGAGTAAAAAGAATGTGGTGGATGCTAAGTCCAATTCCTATACAGAGCCAAATGAAAAATACATTAATCCTGATACTATTAGTTTAGTTGGCGATGAAGATATAGAGGATGTGGAACTTCAAATTGATAATGCTCTAGGCCAGAGTTTTTTCTGCTTGTATGGTCTAAATATAAATCCAGATTCATCAAGTGAAGATGACCTGGCGGTCCATAAGAACACTAGTCGTGGAGATTACCAAACCAAAGAACAATCGGCAGATGTATTTCAGTATATATTACCTTATGCAAGATCTCTTTCTGTACGTAGTTCTTCATTTCTTTCTTTCCTCTTCATTTTGTATTTCAAAGTTTGCTTTTAATTGACCAAAGAAAACAAAATGATTTCCTTGCCTTTTCTGCTAAATAACTTCTAACTTGTTTCAGAGGGCTGGCTTGATTAAACTACGACGAGTTTTGAAGGCTATCCGTAAACACTTCCCTCAACCACCTGATGAAGTGTTGGCTGAAAATGCAATTGATAATATCTTAGATTGTCCTGATTTAAGTGAGGACAAACTTTCTGAAGTGTCTAGGTCTGATGGAAATTGGGACTCTATCATGAACCATTTATTCCCTAATGGAAGTGGGGCCTTAACATACAAGACATTATCAGCAGTGGGGTATGTTTACATGGATTTTCTTTTACCCATCAGCTACTTAATTAATATTATAGACTTATATGATAATGATATTACCTACTAGTTACCATATGCTTTTATTTTACTGCAGCTCTCAGCCATACTTTGAGGTTTATGGCAACTTATATTACTTAATAGCCCAGGCAGACGAAACAAGTGCCACAGACAAATATGCTGGCTTTGTTCTTAGAAAAGAAGGGGAAGAATTTGTGGAGCAAAGTGCTAATCTTTTCAAATATGATTTGCTCTACAATCCGTTGCATTTTGAAAGTTGGCAGAAGCTTGCAAATATTTATGACGAGGTAGAATCATATTTCAATTTGGTTGTTGTACAAGTTACGTTATAATTTTTATGTGTAGTAATTGCATGATTGTACTCCTTTATATGGACTATGTTTAAAAATAGGAAGTGGATTTGCTGCTGAACGATGGCAGTAAACATGTTAATATTGTTGATTGGAGAAAGAATACCACCCTTCCTCAAAGAGTTGAGACTGGCCGGAGGCGGAGCCGCAGGTGTCTATTAATGAGTTTAGCTCTTGCTAAGACTCCAGTTCAACAGGTTTGGTTCTCACCTGCTATTTTCTTTAAAAAATATTTTATTACTAAATTTCTGCTTTCAGGCTGCTGTTGTGCTTCTAGTTCTGTTCTGTTTCCTAACGGTATCAGTTCAATTTTATTGTCCCTTTCCAGAGCCAGATACATGAACTACTGGCTCAAGTTTACTATGACAGCCTTCAGAATGTTGTACCGTTTTATGATCAAAGGTCTACAATACCGACAAAGAATGAAGCATGGATGGCTTTTTCTCAAAATTCAATGAAGCATTTTGAGAAGGCATTTGCTCTTAAGTACTTATTCTGCTTCTTTGTCAAAAAATATTATCTTCATTTTGAAAATGTTCATCTGAAGAAAACTGATACATTTGGTATTGTTCTCAATATCACAGGCCCGAATGGTGGCATGCATTTTACTTGGGAAAACTTTGTGAAAAATTGGAATATTCCCCTGATAAGGCATTTTCATATTACAACAATGCTGCTTCTTTGAATCCTTCTGCTGTTGACCCTGTTTACAGGATGCATGCTTCGCGGTTGAAGCTACTTTATACTCGAGGAAAACAGAATTTAAATATCCTTCAGGTTTGTCTAATGTCATTTGTTATTATAAATATAGTAATTTTCAAATTTATATTTCGTAAGGAATATGTCATGAAAAGATACTTGTTTTCATTTCGCACGTTTATATGTGACAGAGTACAATCATGAGTTAATATGTGCAGTGTGTGATTGTATGCATGTGCTTTGTCCACTTATGTCCACATGTTTACGGGTTGTTTACATGTCCATAAGTAAGTAGCTTATTACAAAAGATGCTGCATTTCAACAAGTGGATTTTGTGAGGTAGGAACATATTGAAAGTAGCATAAACTGATCAAGATAAATGGGCTTTGTTTTTTTTTTTTTTTGAAGATTTGTTGATGAAATAGTAAGAGGCCTTCATCAGGGAGGTGTATTAATCTCTAAGAACAAAATAGAACAAAATAACTAACTCATCCTTCAAGTATCTATGGGTGAACTCTCAACTTCCCACTAAAGTATCAGTTTACCTATTTTGACCCTTAAAGTATGTTTGTGGGTTCAATGCGGTCATGTTGTGAGCCAACAGTCAAATATTTGACAGATTAATGATGTGACAGTGTTTTTTTGCATTTATTCATGAGTTCTTATCAGTTTGGGTCCTTTTTCCAAGGTCAAAAAGTTTCTTAAGTACTTTCTTCCATAATTTTTTACTCTTGATTCCTTTTTTGAGATTGCGTAAAATACAAGAAATGCAACAAAAAAATATCACATCATTATACAGTTAAATATTTGACTATGGGCTCACAAAATGATCACATTGGACACATACACATAGTTAAGGGGGAAAATACAAATTGATACTTTAGAGGGGAACTTAGTGAGTTCACCAATACTTCATAGGGGATTTGATCATTTTGACCAACAAAATAAGCCAAACGATAAATTGAAATAATTTTCAATATAATCCTCAGGTACAATTCGCAGACATCAGCTTCAAGTCACTGTTAAATGTTTCCACTTTCAATTTATGTAGTATGCATTGCAAGCTAGCATTGCCTAAAGCGAATTTCTTTGTCAATAACTTCAGCTAGACACTAAATTTTTATAATATACGCACTCCTACTTACGAAGAGAAAGTCATGAAAGGTTTATGGAGGCAACCCATAAATTAATTGACCCAAAAGTCTGGATACCTAAAGCTGGAATATGGAGCAAGGATATTATTTTAATCTCTCTTCACTTCTGTTCTTTAGAGGAGATGCAACAGATCAGATATTAATGCTCCCTTCTTGTGTACTTGACAATTGGCCTTGTAAGATCTGGCAAGCATCTGAGATGCAGTGCTGTATATAGTTGTTGAGTTTACATCAACGGCAATGCTACCGAATAATAACCCGTCTGACCTAAGATACAATATAAGTGTAGACGAAGTCAGAAAGAATTTTAGCGTCTAACTTTTGTCATTGTTAGTTAATGGTATGTGTCTTATTTTAGTTCTTAACTCTGACTAGCTTGCACATTTTGTAGAAAACATCCTTGTTATGGGAATTCATGGATGAGTTATAATGAATTAGTTTGAGAATCTGAGAAGAAGAAGAGGACCTAAAAGGTATTTTGCTGAAAATGAAAGACTCAGGAGAATAGATAACAAGAAATCAACCCAACCCATCCTAGTCTAAAATAGATAAAGAGCCTAGGAAATCAAGCCAATTTGATTTGAATGTTATGTGGATCTCATTGGGCCATAGTTGTTGGTGGACTTCATATTGTCTTCATGCCTGGGGTTCGGAATTTGTGGGGCCAAAATCAATTTGTTGACATCAGTTTATCTCTCCGAATATGTTCAATCAATGGGGTAGTCTTCAGCTTGTGATCCTATGGATCTCATCATGGATCATGTTGTATATCAACTTGTATATCGTATACATTTACATTTTTGTCATGTTTGTGCCATCAGCTAGAGTTCTCTTTCAAATGTCAGTTGCTTCAAAAATGTACTTTCTGATGTTTTGTTGTTCCAAACAAATTTTCTGCTAGTAGCAGTTAGCTAGAATTCTCTTTTCACTTGCAGATTGTTGCTGTCTATTGTTTTAATAAGTCAACAAAAGAAACAGTCATGGAAAAGCTAGGTTGCACTAGCCTGGATCTTATGGAGGTTGATGTTAAAGATGTCCGTCTTTCAGATGACTCAAAAATGAAAATGGGCACTGACACTCAGTTAGTAGATGATGTCTGGCACATACTTTATGATGACTGCCTTTCAGCCCTTGAAGTTTGTGTGGAAGGGGAGCTGAAACATTATCACAAGGCAAGGTACATGCTTGGCCAAGGACTCTACAAGAGGGGTGAGTTTGGGGACCTGGAGAGGGCAAAAGACGAACTCTCCTTTTGTTTCAAGTCATCTCGATCCTCCTTTACAATAAATATGTGGGAGATTGATGGTGCAAAAAGAGCAAGGTACTAGTTGTGTTGGCATTTAGTCTGTTGCTTGACGTTGGCTTCTAATAGCTCTCTCAAGTTGTTTCATGCATGAACTTTTTTCCTTTTTTTGTTGTTTCCACTTAAGTAAAGTTTATGGTGTTCCCAGACGAAAAAATCCAGGTCATGGAGGGAATAAGAAGACCCTGGAAGTCAGCTTATCAGAAAGTTCACGGAAATTTATTACTTGTATTCGAAAGTACATCTTACTTTACTTGACCCTATTGGAGAAGACCGGGGACTTGTGTACGCTTGAGAGAGCTTATGTTTATCTCCGAACTGATAAAAGGGTATTTATTGAGTAAAATGTCTGCAAAAAACATCTAGATCACAGTTAATTTTTTCTTGTATTTGTCTAAGATGTCATATGATAGAAAATTAATATAAAGTATATTTATTTTCCTGATACCAATTCACATTTATGCAGTTCTACTTGTGCTTGGGAGATATTGTCCCTGTTGGCCTTGGGAAGTACGTGCAAGTATTAACTTCATCAATCCGTAAGGTTCAGAATACTGGAGCTACTGATAGTGCCTCTCTTGAGCCAATGTTGGAGAGAATGTTTAACATATTCATGGACCATGCAAATTTGTGGGCAGATATAAGCAGTTTGCCTGAGGTCAATAACCCTGACTTGTCAGAGAGCAACTTATATGCGTAAGTGGAAAAGATCAATTGTTGTCTTTAACATCATTTTCCTGTGTTCCTTTTCCTGGAACTTATTCTTTCTTTCTTTTTCTTTTTTAAATTGTGTGCTGGAATATTATTTCAGTTATATCCATCAATATATTCATTTACTGGAAAGCGATACGCGCTTAGAAGCACTTGAAGGAATTAATGAGAAGATTCGGAAGCGTTTCAAAAACCCAAAACTATCTAATAGCAACATTGCCAAAATATGTAGGCATGCTTCTTTGGCATGGTGTCGATGTATTCTTATTAAGTTGTCTGCAATCACACCACTCCCTGATTCAGAGTGCCCTAGTGACCAATCTGGTCATGTAGAAACTGGCCTTCAACTATTTGTTGACCTACAACCGGATGAGTTTCTGAGTTCATCTACAGAAGGTCCTTATTCCAGAGGCCTGGATTTAAACTTATATCAAACTCTGTCAAGACTAAAAAATGTTCGTATTCAGCAAGCGTTGGAAGAAAACTTGGAGGCTGCAGCCACTTTGTTGAGATGCACATATAATTACTATAGAGATAGCTCTTGTGGAGCAGTTCCATCTGGTATCAACTTATACACAGTATTTTTCCCATCACATCCATCAGTTGAAGGGCTCCAGCAAGTAGACCAGGATAGAATTGATGTTCTTGATCTTAGCATCCCAAGGAAGCTGCTTCTTTGGGTGTATACACTGGTTCATGGTCGTTATTCAAGTATCTCAGCAGTTGTAAAGTATTGTGAAGAGCATGCCAAGGTATTTAATCCCACTTCATCATCAAATTTAGAAGGGGTGAAAAAAAGTCATATTCTCTTAATCATTTGCATCTTCTGAGCGCAGTCAAGGATGAAGAGGGGAGCCATGACATCACCTTCTGTTTGTCAACCTGTTGTATCCATATCTGTTGCCCATGCAGGTTGTTGACACTCGACATTGTTTCTATGTTTTTTTTTTTTTTTTGGCTCACAAGTCATTCATTTTCTTTATGTTGATATCATGTGGGTAATTATGGTAGGCGCGGTTAAAGAAAGAAGTGACAGGGATGAGTACAGTGAAGCTGACGAACAGCCATCAGCTACTGCTGTGGTTTCTGCTTCCCCACACCAAGAAGACATTGCACCAACCTCGAGTGTTCTTGCTCTCTGTGCTCCACAACTTCAACGTTGCAACAATAACAAGGGGGAATAAATTAATGATACTAAAAGGGTGCAAAGGAAGAAGGTTCAGATGTTAGTTAACAGCTGTTGCTGAGCTTCAAGATGACTCTGTACTCTATTGATGTGTAAATCACACTTGTTGTAAATTAATAGGGTATAGTTTACAGATTAGGAGATGGGTTAGAGAATCCGAGTTGTGATTTTTTCATGTTTTCATGTGTTTTAA